AAATGTGTAAGTCCAAAGTCTCCCACTCAGGCTGTATGGGGGATGGGAGAGAGGTACCGGGAGTGTCACTAGCCTTAATATAAACAGAAGTCTGATTACTTGTACTGGAAAATATTGGGAATGATCACAAGACTTAACACCACAATACTGTGGCTGCAACAATTCACATGTAAACCATAATACCACAGCAGCAACAATTCACAAGTAAACCATAATACCATGTGTGCAATAACTCACAACTAGCCCATAATACCTTGGCTGCAACAATTCACAACCCCACAAATTTGAAAAACAAATTTATACAGTATTTGGAACTGTTTTTTTTTTCCATTTTGAAAGTGATATTGTCTGGGCTGACAAATGGTCTTCAAAAGACCATACTCATAACTGTTGATTGGAAAGTCGGCTTTAAAGTATACTGTATACAGTGGACCCTCGTTTTCTTTGATTCTCCGTTATCGCCGATTTCGGTTTGGCCGACTATTTTTGTCGATATTTTTATTCCCTTTTTGTCGATCGTATGGAACCTTTTTATAGTCCCCACCACGCAAACAAAGCCGCCCCCACATGCATTCTCAGCCAGTGTAGCGTTATTTTTTGGTGAGTGAACATATCCTGCCAGGTCATACAAAGCATTTCATAATAATCCATTATTTTTCCCAAACTTGTTTATTGGGGTTTGACTGCTAATAAGTGACCATGGTCCAAAAGAAAGCTCCTAGTGCCAGTGCTTTGGCAAAGAAGTGAGGAACCCGTAGAACCTAAAAAAAATCCTAAGAAAATATGATAGTGGCATATGCATGCTGAACTCGGCAGGATGTAGGGGAAAGTCGCCATCAACAATCAGCTCCATTGTGACAAAGAGAAAAGAAATCATGGAAGTGATGATGCAAAAGGGGTGAATGTGATAACCAAAAGAGATCCCAACAACTGAAGGTGGAGAAAGGGGTGTGGATCAGAGAGAAAGAGTTAGCAGGAGATAGTTTTGTGCAGTCTATAATTTGTGAAAAGGCAAGGCAGCTGTGATGATCTCAAAGAAACTCCCTTGAAACAAGTGCTGATGTAGGTGATTTAAGGCCGCAAAGGCTGGTTTGAAAAATTCAAGAAGTGAAGAGGGGCCCAACACACACTGTTGTAAGGCATGGGGGAGGGTGCAGTTCAGACAAACAAGCTGCTGAAAAATTCGTGCAGGAATTTCAAATGTTATGTAAAGGCTGAAAAAATTTGTGCGGGAATTCAATGTTATGCAGAGGCTCAAAAATTCCAACCCCAACAAGTGTTCAATTGTGACAAAAACAGGCCTCTTTTGGAAGAAAATGCCAAAGAGGACCTACATTACACAGGAGGAAAAGGCACCCCCCAGGACACAAGCCTATGAAAGACAGGCTAACTCTCTTGTGTGGTAATGCTAGCAGAGATTTCAAAGTGAAACCTTTTACTGGTTGTATCACTGAAATCCCAGTGTTTCAAGAAAAACTGTTGTCAAGGAAATTGTGTGTTTGTGGCAGAATAAGTATGCATGGGTCATGAGGGAAATTTTTCCTGGAATGGTTCAATGAAGTGTTGGGCCCGTGTGAAAAAATTACCTCTGGATAAAAAATAGCCACTCAGTGCCTCCTATTAATAGACGATGACCTGCTCATCCTCCAGACTTGGAAGACCAATTGTCTAAGGAATTCAGTTTTGTAACAGAACTTTTTGCTCCTGAACCATCCTCCCCTCAGCCCATGGAAAGTAGATCATTGCAAACTTCAAAGAATTGTACACCAAAACTATTTCAAGGTGCTTTGACATAACCTTGGGACTCTGAATTGACCCAAGAGAGTTCTGGAGGAATCACTTCAGTATCTACCACGGCATAAGCCTTTTAGATAAGGCTTGGCAGGGAGTGACTTCAAGGAAAATGAACTCTGTTGGGGAAAATTGTGGCCCGATTGTGTCCAAAAGAAGGATTTTGAAGAGTTTTTAGGCTGACCCTGTCAACCCTACATCTGTTGTGCAATCAATTGTGGCATTGGGGAATTCCATGGGTTGGATGCGAGTGGCAACGATTTTGGAAGAATTGGTGGAGGACCACAATGAAGAGCTAACCACTGATGAGCTGCAAGAGCTTCATCTGCAACAGCAACCCGACCACAGCTGAGGAAACTGCTTTAGAGGAGGAAGAAGAGAGATGGAAGAAGGTGCCCTTCTTCAAAAATTAAGGAGATTTGTTGCAATGTGGACTAAAGTACATTCATTTGTAGAGGAGCATCACCCTGAGAAAGATGTTGCAATCCATGCTGGTGACTTTTACAATGACAAAAGCCATGTCCCATTTTAGGCAAATCTTAAAAAGACGCCAGAAAAAAGAGCACTCTGGACAAATATTTTGTGCGACAGGGGTCCAGTGATCAAGTGGTCCTAGTGGCATTAAAACAAAAGGAAGGAAGGACCCCGGATAAGGACTTGGTACCTAGAGGCCTTATAGAGGGAGATTTCCCTTCCCAAAAAATAACCTCTCTTCCCTCTCCCCTCCTGGGTCTTTCTTCCAGCAACAACAGCCTTCAATAAAGGTAAGTGTCATGTTGAATGTTCATTCTTCTGTGCATGTAATTCTATGGTAAAAAAAAAAAAATTGTCGATACTTCTGGGTGTCTGGAATGGATTAATTCCATTTACATTATTTCTTATGGGGAAGAAAATGGTTTTGGTTTGGCTGATGGCTCTGGAACGGATATTAAACATGAAAACCGGGGTCCACTGTAGTGAATTTACACACAACTTAGAGACAATATCTGTTGCAATCAAAATTCAAAAAAAAACATTTCTGGTACAATTTCACAGTGAACATATAGTGGGAGAGGACAGATGAACTGGCGACCTGCGGGACACCCGCGATGTCAGGAATGAGGTAGAATGTGGATTGAGGGGGCAGGGGAGTTTGCAACAAAACCTTCCTTGTACTGAATTTTACGAGGAAACTCGTGTATACCAAAGGGGAGGGTTTCGGGGGTCAGTGCCCCCGCAGGCGGTTTAAAATTAACCTTCCTGTGCGGAATCGAACCCGAGCCTCGCAGGTGGAGCCCCCATAGGTTTTTTTTGTGTGGATTTATTTGGTGCTTGGATAGGTGGAGGGGGCCCAAACAATGGCCTGGATATGAGCAGTCGGATGTTGGTGCATGCCCGCCATCGTTTGAAAGCCTTCATGTGACACAAGACTCACAGCACTGTCCTTCACGTGACACATGACTCAACTACGTCCTTCATGTGACACAAGACTCACACATTGTCTGATGCCTTCCCGTGATAGTGATCACTTCTCTTGCCTCAATAGTGAGGATTCACTCCCACAATGCTTTCCTCATGTCTCAGACCAATGTTCTCTCTTTATTATACCAGACGTCTCCCACCCAGGTAAGGTGACCCTAAGACAAGAAACACTTTCACCATCACTTAACAATGAATGTCTTGTCATCAGTGTTGACATCAGAGATATAAGAAGTTAAAAGAACAATGGGCATGTAGACTACAAGTTTATATTATTTGGATATTGGTATGATCTGGTAATTGGATCTTGTAGTGTTTGGGTATATCTGGTATGATATTTGGTGATCTGGTATGATACTGTGTCATCGGGGTATGATATTGTGTCATCTGGTATAAATTTGTGCGGTATGATCTGGATTGATTTGAAGTGATCGGGGAATGGGGGATGATGATGATCCTGAGTGACTGTGGGGTTTATGATCTGGTTTATGTGGATGATCTGGTATTATGTGGATGATCGGGTTTATTATGGGGGTTTATGATCCAGTATTAGTGGTATGGTCTGGTATGATCTTGTATGAAAAGAATGTTTTTTGAGTGAAGGGTTGTTGATGTGATTTGAAGCAAGATAGTTTTTACCTTACTGTTGCAGGTGGAACACTTGACCTTGCTGTTGCAGGTGGAACACTCCCGACCTTGTTTTTGCAGGTGGAACACTCTGACCTTTTGTTGCAGGTGGAACACCTGACCTTGCTGTTGCAGGTGGAACACACTGACCTTCTGTTGCAGGTGGAACACTCTGACCTTGCTGTGCAGGTGGAACACTTGACCTTGTGTTGCAGGTGGAACACTCTGACCTTGTTTTTGCAGGTGGAACCACTTGACCTTGCTGTTGCGGTGGAAACACTTCTGTTATGCCTACTTGTTTTTGCGGTGGAACACTCTGACCCTTTGCAGGGCATGACAGGGGTGGAACAATGACCGGTGCTGACCTGTTTGTTGCAGGTGGAACACTTGACCTTGCTGTTGCAGGTGGGGAAAACTCTGACCTTGCTGTTGCAGGTGGAACACACTGACCTTACTGTTGCAGGTGGAACACTCTGACCCTTTCTGTTGCAGGTGGAACACACTGACTTGCTGTTGCAGGTGGAACACTCTGACCTTGCTGTTGCAGGTGGAACACTCTGACCTTGCTGTTGCAGGTGGAACACTCTGACCTTGCTGATGCAGGTGGAACACTGACCTTACTGTTGCAGGTGGAACACACTGACCTTACTGTTGCAGGTGGAACACACTGACCTTACTGTTGCAGGTAGAACACTCTGACCTTACTGGTGCAGGTGGAACACTCTGACCTTACTGTTGCAGGTGGAACACTCTGACCTTACTGTTGCAGGTGGAACACTCTGACCTTACTGTTGCAGGTGGAACACTCTGACCTTACTGGTGCAGGTGGAACACTTTGACCTTACTCTTGAAGGTGGAACACTCTGACCTTACTGATGCATGTGGAACTCACTTACCTTACTGGTGCAGGTGGAACACTCTGACCTTACTGGTGCAGGTGGAACACTCTGACCTTACTGGTGCAGGTGGAACACTCTGACCTTACTGTTGCAGGTGGAACACTCTGACCTTACTGTTGCAGGTGGAACACTTCTTACTTTGCAAGTGGAAACACTCTGACCTTATGTTGCATGTGGAACTCACTTACTTACTTGCAGGTGGAAACTCTGACTTGCTGTGCAGGTGGAACACTCTGACCTTACTCTTGAAGGTGGAACACTCTGACCTTACTGGTGCATGTGGAACTCACTTACCTTACTGTTGCAGGTGGAACACTCTGACCTTACTGGTGCAGGTGGAACACACTGACCTTACTGGTGCAGGTGGAACACACTGACCTTACTGTTGCATGTGGAACACTGACCTTACTGTTGCAGGTGGAAAACTCTGACCTTACTGGTGCAGGTAGAACACACTGACCTTGTTGTTGTAGGTGGAACACACTGACCTTACTGTTGCAGGTGGAACACTCTGACCTCACTGGTGTAGGTGGAACACTCTGACCTCACTGGTGCAGGTGTTGGGGGAACAACTCTGACCTACTGTGCAGGTGAAAACCTGACCTTACTGTGAGGTGAAACACGAATGTTGGTGAAAACTCTGACCTTACTGGTGCAGGTGGAACACACTGACCTTACTGTTGCAGGTGGAACACTCTGACCTTACTGGTGCAGGTGGAACACACTGACCTTACTGGTGCAGGTGGACCACTGCCTTACTGGCAGGTGAGACACTCACCTTACTGTTGCTGGTGGAATACACTGACCTTACTGGTGCAGTGGAACACACTGACCTTATGGAGGTGGAACACACTGACCTTACTGGTGCAGGTGGAACACTCTGGGAAGATGTGCAACACTGCAACATACTCAACAACCAGTGGACCTGTGCAAGCAGGTTGGAGTTAGTGAACAAAACTGGACTGTGGGATTCAATTTTCTGTTGGAGTGGGAGTGAAGTAGCAGTTTTGAAGGGATTTAGGGAAACCAATTAGCCACACTTGAATCCTGGAGGTGGGAGGTATAGTGTCCGTACTCTTAAGTATGGTGGTGGTATCATCCCTGTACTCTGAAGTATGGTGGTGGTATGGCATCTGTACTCTGATAGTGGTTGTGGTGGTGGTACAATACCTACACTATGAAGGATGGTGGTGGTACAGTACCTACACTAAAGGATGGTGGTGCAGTACCTGTACTCTGAAGGATAGTGGTTATGGTGGTAGTACAATACCTACACCATGAAGGATGGTGGTGGTACAGTACCTACACTAAAGGATGGTGGTGGTGGTACAGTACCCACACTAAAAGATAAGATAAGATTTCGTTCGGATTTTTAACCCCAGAGGGTTAGTCACCCAGGATAACCCAAGAAAGTCAGTGTGTCATCTAGGACTGTCTAACTTATTTCCATTGGGGGCCTTAATCTTGTCCCCAGGATGCGACCCACACCAATCGACTAACACCCAGGTACCTATTTGCTACTAGGTGAACAGGACACAGGTGTAAGGAAACGTGTTGAAATGTTTCCACCCGCCGGGAACGACCCTGGCCTCCGTGTGTGAAGCGGGAGCTTTAGCCACCAGGCCACTAATAGATGGTGGTGGTGTACAGTACCTACACTGGAAGGTGGAGTGATGGGCAGTGGGTACATACCTACATATGAAAGAGGTAGAGATGGTGGTGGCAGTGGCTACAATTCCTACACTATGAAGGATGGTAGAGGTGGCGTGGTACAAGTCACTTTCCACACTATGAAGGATGGTGGTTGTGGTACAGTACCTACCCTATAAGGATGGTGGTGGTGGTACGGTACCTACGTATGAAGGATGGTGGTGGTGGCTAGGTACCTACGCATGAATGGTGGTGGTGGTGGTACGGTACCTACGCTATGAAGGATGGTGGGGTGGTACGTACCTACGCTATGAAGATGGTGGTGGTGGTACTACACTACGCTATGAAGGATGGTGGTGTGGTACAGTACCTACGTATGAGGATGTGTGGTGATACGGTACCTCCCTATGAAGGATGGTAGGTTGCCAGTGTACAATACCTACACTATGGTGGATGGTGGCACGTACCTACGCTATGTAGGATGGTGGTAGGTGGTACGGTCCTACGCTATGAAGGATGGTGGTGGTGGTACGTAATACGTATGAAGGATGGGGGTTGGAGGTACAGGGGTATGAAGGTGGTGAGTGGTGAACAGGTACCTACGCTATTTAGGATGGTAGGAGGTTTTACGGTACCTATCGTTAGGAAGAATGGTGTGGTGGATAGGTACCTACGTATGAAGGATGGTGGTTGGTGGTACGGTACTCTACCCTTGAAGGATGATGGTGGTGCCAGTGTACATACTACATATGGTGGGAGGGGCACAGTACCCTAATAGCTATGAAGGATGGTGGTGGTGGTATGGTTCACCTACGCTTTGAAGGATGGTTGGTAGAAGTGTCGGTACCTACGCATATGAAGGATGGGTGGTTGGGGTTTACGGAACTACGCTAAGAAGGAGGTGGTGGTGGTACGGTACCTACGCTATGAGGATGTGTTGGTGGTTACGGTACATACGCTATGAAGGATGGTGGTGGTGGTACGGTACTCGCTATGAAGGATGTGGTGGTGGTAGGTACCATAAGCTATGAAGGATGAGGAGGTGGCACAGTGACCTACCTATGAAGGAGGTGGGTGGTGGTGGGCACAGACCTACCTGTGAAGGATGTGGTGTGCCAGTGTACAATACCTTCACTATGATGGTGTGGTGGTACAGTACCTACGACTAGGAAGGATGGGTGGTGGTGACCAGGTCGGTAGAAACCTCACTATGGTGTGGTGGTGGCAACAAGTACCTAACGCTATGAAGGATGGTTTGCAGATTTACAGTTAACATATAATTTAAACTGTGATAAATCACATCTGGCAGAGAGCTGAGTTCCTTGTATAGAGGCAAAGGGGGACAAAGAGAGTGCAAATTATAGGGATAAGTCTGTTGAGTATACCTGGTAAAGAATGTATGGTTTGAGTTTTTTGAAGAATTAAAGTAAGAACGGAGAAAGGATAGCAGATGAACAAGGAGGCTTTAGGAAAGGTAGGGGGTGTGTGGCCCGGTGTTTACATGAAACATATAAGTGAACAGTATTTAATAAGGTAAAGGGTTTTTTTTGGCATTTATGGTTTGGAAAGGTGTTACAGGGTGGATGGGGAGCAATGGGCAGATGTTGCAGGTGTATGGTATAGGAGGTAGGGTTTCTGAAAGCCCCGTGAAGAGTTTTTTTTTCAGGTAGTGAAACTCAAATTTGAATAGTAGGAAAGAGGGGGGGAATTATTTCCCCGTAAAAGTAGCCCTTAGCAGGTTGTTGTCACGTGGGTTTTTCAAATATTTATGGATGGGGTTGTAAGAGAAGTGAATGCGAGAGTCTTGGAAAAGAGGTTGTGGAGTTAAAAATAAAGAATCAAACACAAATTTGGGGGGAGTTGTCACAGTTGCTTTTTGCTGATTGACACTGTGCTCTTGGGAGTTCTGAAGAGAAGTTGCAGAGGTTGGTGGATGAATTTAGTAGGGTATGCAAAAAATAAAAAAGTGAAATATAGGAAATAATAAGTTATGAGGATAAAAAAAAGATTAGGTGATGAAAGATTGGATATCAGATTGGAGGGAGAGAGTATGGAGGAGTGAATGTATTCAAATATTTGGGAGAGGACGTGTCAGCAGATGGGTCTATGAAAGATGAGGTGAAATCATAGAATTATGAGGGGAAAAAAGGGTGAGTGGGTGCACTTAGGGGTCTGTGGAGACAAAGCACTTTGTCCTGGGAAGCAAAGAGGGAAATGTAATGAGAGTATAGTTTTTACCAACACACTTACATGGGTGTAAGCATGGGTGATGAATTTTTGCAGCAAAGGAGAAGGCTGGAGGCAGGGGAGATGTCATGTCTGAGGGCAATGTGTTGGTGCGATATAATGCAGACAATTTGTAGTTTGGAAGTTAGGAGGAGGTGCGGGATTATCATAACTGTCATCCAGAGAATGAGGAAGGATTGTTGAGGTGGGTTCGGACATGTAGAGAGAATGGGAACAAGACAGAATGACTTCAAGAGTGTATCAGTCTGTAGTGGAAGGAAGGCGGGGTAGGGGTCGGCCTAGGAAAGGTTGGAGGGAGGGGGTAAGGTTTTTTTGTGTGCGAGGGGCTTGGACTTACAGAAAGCATGTGTGAGCGAAATTTGATAGAAGTGATGGATACAAATGGTTTTTAATACTTGAAGTGCTATTGGAGTGTGAGCAAAGTGACATTTTGAAGGGATTCAGAGAAACCGGCAGGCTTGACTTGAGTCTTGGAAAATGGGAAGTACAGTGCTCCCACTCTGAAGGAGGGGTGTTAATGTTGCAGTTTTATAAACTGTAGTGTTAAGCACCCCTCTGGCAAGACAGTGATGGAGTGAATGATGATAAAAGTTTTTCTTTTTTGGGCCACCATCCCTTTGGGGGGAATTGGCTGATGTGTTAATAAAAAAAAAAATATCAAAATCAGTATGAGTGATGGTCAATGTGTTCTTCTTTTAGCTCACTATTTTTAAATGCATCACAATTCCTTTTACCTTAGTTAATACCGCCTAACAGATATATTTAATGTAAGTGAGTCATCGATACCATGCCTGGAACCCTCTCTTCCAATGCCAGACTTCTTGATGCCCCCAAATGCTCCTTCAGCAGCAGTTTCCCAGACCCTCGTTGATGCCCACAATGCCACACTCCAGTCTCCGAGCCACTCGCCACACCTGACCACATTAAGCATATTATGTTAGCATATATATCAGCATCACAGTCTTCATACAAAAAATCATCAGTATTAGATTTTAGTTAAAAAATACTTTATTATTTATTAATTGTTTTAATAGTATTATTATTACTTGATGGGTAAATCTGGAGGCCCTGGGTCAGCAGACCAATAGCTATAGTGGTATGACCATCAGGTCTTGGTCAGCTGACCAAAAGCTAACCTACAGTAGTTGACCATCAGGTCTTAGTCAGCTGACCAAAAGCTGCAGTACTGGGCCACCAGATGGCCAAGGTAAGGTTTGTTCCCAGACAAACCTTACTAACCTTAACATTAGCCTTAATATTTAGCTAACAAAATACTCAAGTGAGGTGGCACCTTCCTGGTGATGTTTTGGCTCTCAGCACCATCAACTGGCAAAACCCCTCCTCTTCCCTGGATCAAAACACTCCCTTTAAACCCCTAAGCACTGATAAACAACTTTAAGTATTCTATTTTTCCAAACTCCAGAGAGCGGTGACTGACCTGAGAGACATCCTGACTGTAGAAGAAAACTGGCAAGGCCACACTCAGAGGCATTAGCAATTGCAACGGCCTCGTCTTAAACTCTGGAACCTAAAATATATTTCACTGCCTTTAAATTTTAGTGTATACGATTTCTATAACACGGGCCCTTTCTTAAAGCAAGGAAAGTGAGCCATAAACAGAAGAACACATTGACCCCCATCCATTCAATTGCTGTCTTGGCAGAAATGTTTTTATCACAGGCAGATGACACTCTGACCTGTAATGTCCTCACCCATCCTTCAGAGTGCCACACACTGTACTTCCAGTTTGTTTACACAAAATGTTATTCTACAAAAAAACTCTTTCCCCTACACTCATGATTTGTACACACTAATGTCACTAGTTTTCGGTACACAGCAACACAACAAGTGCCAGTGTGTGCTGGTTACAGACACAAATCTTAGAGAGGAAACAAAGTCTTACATTCCCCATGAACGTTAACCCCTTTGACTGTTTCAGCCGTATAGATACGTCTTACGAGCCATGTTTCAGACATACATGTACATTGTATATATATACTCAATAATTCTAGCGGCTTCAAATCAAGCAGGAAAAAAGTTGGTAGCCCCATATGTGGGAATGGGTCTGTGTGGTCAGTGTGCACTGCATAAAAAAATCCTGCAGCACGAAAGTGCATAATAAAGAAAAAAAAACTCCGACTGTGTTTTTGGATTAAAACGCCGAATTGGGGTGTAGTTTTGGTAAAAGTATTTATGGTTGTATTCTTGTTTTTCTTCATCTCATTTGATAGAATGAAAAACACATTACAGAAATAATGATGATTTTGATCAGTTTCATGATGAAAACAACCTTGAAATTGAGCTCAAATAAGGGAAATGTTCAATTTTCACCAATGTTCAAGAGTAAGCAAATCACACCACACGTCCAATACACGTCAACTGGGGAGTTAATATTCTTTCACTAGTGCACTGATATTATTTATACCATTTTTACAATAATGCAGTAATCTGCTTTAACAGTAAATCTTCTATTTTTTTTTGTGAAATAAAAAATCAAAATACAAAGCAAGAGTAATTATAAGAGAGGCATTGAGACATGACTAATGAACAGCGGAAAAGTTTTTTTAGTGCCGAGAATGTCTGCATTGTTTATTCTGGCCCCTATTTTGAAATTGGCATCTTTTTTAAATTTG